TATCGTTCACAATGAAGATAAAACAAATAAAGTTCTTTCTCCCATCATGATCCTAAAAAGTATTAAATCTCATGACCAAAAGATCTATTTACTAATTTGTGGGTTGCTCTGAGAATAATGCTGACCATCCCTCTGACTGTGGCGAGTGCTGAGCGAAGTTTTAGTAACTTGAAACTGATTAAAACTTTTCTTCGATCTACCATGACACAGGAAAGGTTAAATGCTTTGGCTATTTTATCCATAGGAAATGATGTTGGATTTTAAAGACATTTTAACATTAAGTGGATTGATAAAGACACTAAACCTTCCCCATACTTCTTTTAATTATTTCAGGTATTAGATTAAAGGCATTAGGTGACAGCGACTATAGTTTCGACCCGAAGGTCATTATCAAGCTGAAATATTATAATTTGAAACAATGACTAACCTTAGGTGACCTACCTTAAATTTAAAGGAACATATAAAGGTGGTTGAAAATTACATTTTAAAATGGTACATTTGGTAATCAATATGCTGTAAAACATGTGTTAAAAACGAGTCTAGAAAATAGTTATACTTACGGGAAAAAATTACTAATTAGAACATGGGAACAATAACAATATTAACAATTTAAAAAATTTAAAAACTTTTTGTCCTCACATATTATAAAACAATTGTTTAAATTAAAGAAATTAAAGGAGACGAGATGGACACAGCCATCTTGACAAGCAAAGTGAAATGTGCTAACTAAAGACGACAGGTTAAGTAACTGAAGGGAAGGGGCAAAAGCGGGAAACTTGAAAAATTTGAAAATTAAAAGGAAAAAGGGGCCGGATTGGTTATGGGACGAAAAAAGAATGTAACTTAGCTTACATTAGGCTATTGTTTTTAGAAAATATTTAAATTTAATGGGCCAAAATTTTAACATCTTTTGCGAAAGCTAAAGCAAGGAAAATCCCTTTAGGTGTTTAAACTTATTATTTTTTAGTTTTGAATTACAGTGATTATATTTCCTACATAATATGTAACTGTTATTGTAAACATAAAACACAAAATAAATGTGTGGCGCTTCTAAAATACATTCTTATAAAAATATCTAGAAATACCTTTATGGAGGGTGGGGGGTGCTGATTAAAATCTCGCTCCGGGCGCCTATTAGCCTCGGGACGGTCCTGCCTAAATGGACCAAATGCAAGGAATCGCCCATTGGGAAGTCGTCCACCATATTAATGGGTAATTCTTCTACAGGGCTATTCTCCTTATGATGATCAACGTCAGTCCTTTGGCGAAAACTCGCATCGGTTCGCTTTGGTGCATCAATACGAGGAAAACTCATACGATGAGATTCCTGGCTATACTCCCCAATTACAGTGCATCTTGTACAACCATTATAAGCATTAAAATTAACGCCTGTAAATCAAAAAATTAATACCTATTTCGTATCACAAATAAAACATCTAATTTTTATACTACAATTTTTTGCATTAATAGAAATTCCATTTTCTAAAAGGAGTTTTAGTTCTTCTACAAAAGGTGCCAGAAAGTCTTTCACACTGGGTCGTTTACCAGTACCACAATACTACGAAAGGATTCATATTTGGTCTGTTGTTTAATAAACACAAAATAGGCCAAAATTCCATCTTTGAACTGTTGTAGATAGGCAAGCCATCTATATTAAAGCTTAATTACACCTTAGTTGAACTGGTAATATCAGATAGAGTTACAGATGCCCCTTCTTAGCCAATTATGCCAATAACTGCCGTTGCCCATTTTTATAATTTTTATTTCCCTAGGTGTTTTTAAAAGCGTTCTACGACTTGGGTAAGTTGGGTATATTGCATAACTGTAAAATACTTATAGCAACGTTGATATTGCAATATGCGAAATATTATACGAACGATAAATTACATTAAATTGTGATTTACACTATATTTTGCACTAAAATTTAAATTGTTTATGATTTTTCAATATTCTACGAAGGCGTCAAAGGCACACAGTATTTTTTTTGTTTCCTATACATTCCAACGCAAAATTTTGTATTATAACACAAAATGTTGCGTTACGATACAAAATTTTGCGTTATAAGACGAAATTTTGCGATATAACACAAAAATTCTCGTTATATCACAAAATATTATTCTTTAATGCAAAATTTTGTGTTACGATGCAAAATATTGTGTTCACCTATAACACGAAATTTCCCGTCTTTCAACTTCGTAACAGTAAGTTATGAAATAGCAGGTGCTTGGAAGTGGTGCTTCGTAAGCAGTGTATTGTGTGGCACTCACTATCAAGGTAAGTATAGGTTATAATATGTAATAAAAAATTTACATTGCACCAAGGTACAATAAAAAAACCGAGCCAATTTGGGGGATCATAAGATATTCATACTCACATTTTTTAATTATCAAAATAAACAAACATATCATAGTAAGCAAACAAAAGAGTTAAGAAACAGCTACCTACTTTATGCCTGCATTTTATAAATCAATCTAAATCAATTTTATATCGTAACTAGTCCATATGTAACTATGTCAAAGCAATTTGAATAGAAACTGCCTTATGTTTTAAATAAGTACTTGAATTTTAAAGTAATAATGTATGACGATGTCTATGTCAAGGTACTTGATCACAGACAATAAAGTTATTATTATTATTATTAATAAAGATAATAATAAAAGGGAAATAATATATAGCAAACGATCTCCACAAGTTTGAATTTCATTCAGTACGGTTCATGATTAACGGAGATGTCAAAAGGGTCTTCCTTATTTTTTGACCTACATGGCCAATTCACGAACTCCGATCTACAAATATGATGAAGAATCCACTTGCAAAATTTCTTCGTAATCGGTCCATTCGTTTTTGAGACATCGTGCTAACGGACAGACAGATAAACTCGCTAGGAGCTCGTTAATAATGTGTGAAGTTACAACTACTACCTCAGGTGCTACAATTTAAGTGAACATTTTGCTCTCCGCTAGGTACTGTTTGAACGTTGACTTTTCAATAGCCAATAGGTAGATGTTTAGGATCTCATATTTATGTTTGTTATGTTATACGAAAGAACCAAAAACCCAATGTGAAAATATCATCCAAACAATAAACTAAAAATGTTAAGAATAGGTTGGTGGTTATAGGTATGATGTATCAGCAGTTCTATAAACATTCCTGTTTTCGTGTCCTATTCTTGCTTACAGGTGAGCGTAAAAATTGAAGTAAGGGATCAGCTTATTGAAAATTATTTCGGATTAGGATTGCAACAAAAGGAAATCATTACACTTTTGACTAACATTCACAACACAACAGTACATCCCAGAACTCTTAAACGCATATTGAAGAAAAAGAACTTGTTTAGACGTAAACATTTCTCAAGCCTTGAATGTGTCGCTAATTTTATTGAAGATCAACTGGTGACATCTGGTCAACTGCACGGATATCGCTGGATGCATTTGAAATGTATTCAGCGTGGATTAACGGTCACCCAAGATATTGTAAGAGAACATTTAAAACTGCTTGATCCAATGGGAGTGGATGTACGCAGACGAAAACGACTTCGTCGAAGACAATATAACAATAGCGGCCCTAACGTTTGGCATATGGACTCATATGACAAGCTAAAACCTTATGGAATTTGTATTAACGGTGCAGTTGACGGTTTTTCCCGGTACATCATATGGTTGCACGCAGGACGCACATCCAATGACTCCAAAGTAGTGGCCGGGTATTATGTAAATTCCCTTAAAGCTTTGGGAGGTTTTCCAATGACAGTACGTTCCGATATGGGCACCGAAAATGGGGTTTGTGAAAAAATACAAAAGGTTTTGAGAGAGCTATTTGTAACAGACGAGAACCACAAGCCTGCTTTCCTATATGGTCGCAGTACGGCAAACCAGAGAATCGAATCCTGGTGGTCCATTCTACGTAGGTAAACAAAATGCACAATTCTGGATGAACTTGTTTGATTCATTAAAGGATGAAGGATTATTCAACGGAACTTTCGTTGATAAATCTCTTATACAATTCTGTTTTCTAAAAATAATTCAGGTAAAAACTTTTTCATTTTTGGTTTATTACCTATTCGTATTTGTATACTCGACTATACAACATTTTATTAAAAAAAGTAAGTTTTTGGTACCTGCCCTTACTTGGTCGGTTTTTTCTTTTAAGGATGAGTTAAATGAAGTTATGTTATGGAATACACATAAAATACGACACACTAGAAACAGCAGATCACCAGTTGGACGGTCCTTAATGATGTTGGAAGTACCCAGTCTTTATGGTGCCCAAAACTCGTTAGTTCGGATTCCGCCAAATATGATTAATTGTTTAGACGAAGAGTGTGTATTTATTGGAACATCATGCAACCAGGATGTTGAAGATTTGTGTAAGGAATTAATTTTAGAAAATGATTTTAATTCTTCCTGTAATGATTCCTACGATGCTGTGAAACTATATGTAGATCTTCGAGAAAAAGTATACCATCTAATTTCTTAATACTGGACTATTATTGTTTTTGTAGAGGCGCGTTTTCACCCACTTAGAAAGTTCATTTATACGATTTGGAAATTTTTACTGAGACGCACTAATGTATGTTTTGAATAAATTGGATGAAAACATGCCTGATTGTTGGATAAGTAGTTATTATCTCTATTAATAAATGAAAAAAATTACCTTTGGCATCATGTATCGAGCGAATAGACTAATTAAATAAGTTTAACGAATAATTTAAAAACGTATTTATTAAATAAAAGATAAACATTACAAATATGTATCACTCTTCTTTTCAGTAAGTTAAAAAATGTTCTTTTATTGTCAACACAAATTTTTAGAAAAAATATAAAATATAAAAATAGAAATAATTAATACAACCCCAAAATAAAATTAATGTAGATTAACAGAATTCAAAGAGTAATTGCACTACATTAAAAGCAAAGTATCAGTTGTGATTTTTCACTAATAAATAAATATAGATTCTCAAAAACGACTTAAACCATAATAAGTAAAAAAAATATATAACTTCATTCAAATCCGAAAACCATCCCTTCATGAAAACCCCATAAGAGATAACGTTGAAATTCCTTATAGTTTTGGTGGACAGTTGGAAGTGATAGAGACATCTCACACGTGTTGGCTTTCGGTAGAAGTTCATGACTCTCATACAAGAACTTAATAGTAGGCCGTTGAGGAAATCCTAACGGTGGTTCACTTTTCAGTCCCGTAGCAAACATAAGGATATCTTCCGTTTTACAGTCTACCGTCTTTTCTGTAAAATAAAAATAGAGTAATTTGCATTAAGGGCGAAAAAATATTTTCTGTATAATATTGTTAAAATAAAAATTACCATCGCAATCAGTAACAAATTCCCTGAAATAGCATAATGCTCTGCTTTCTAGAGCTCGTTTATTTGAGCCTTCTTCGAAGAGATTCAATAAAAAAAAGTCTGTTAATATCAGCAGCAGTTACCGGCTTCTCTTCATAGCAGAACATCACTTTAAATTTTAGCTCATCTTTTTTAATAATATCGTACATTTTCAAAAGTTTAAACCCATTAATGAATTGGGTAAGAACTTCGCAAAATCTCAAACTGCTAAAAAAATGAGTTGCTCCTAAAAATATATATACACCGCAATCTAAACACCTTTTAGCATAACATTTTTGTGTTATAATGCAAAATTTTGTACTTTAATGAAAAAATTTTGCATTATAATACAACATTTTGCGATATAACGCAAAATTTTGTGTTATAGAGCAAAATTTTGTGTTATAACTATTGTAAATAGTGTGTTATAACTAGAGAGCGGATTAATAAGCATAAAACATTTTAGAAAAAGCACATAAAAAGCACAACAAAATTGCCAAAAAAGTTTTATTTTTACAGTAAAAAGCATATAAAAAGCAGAACAAAATTTCCAAAAATCTTAGTTTTATACAAATAAAGACATATGCATGTATTATTTTCTATTCGTTTTCTTTAAAGCAGTGAATAATAGCAAATTGTTCCAAGTGTTGCATTGTTAAATTTCTTCTACGTTCGCTAAGTATGTTTTTTAAAGTAGAAAAACTGCGTTCAACATCTACACTAGTTATTGGTGCAAATTTGAATTTTGGTACAATTGTAGTATCTATGTCTAGATCTTCCACAAATTCACCTTGTAACACCCGAGCTACTTTTAATAAAACTTCAAATCCACTATTTTTATTGAAGACATCTTGTAATTTTCCATGGACGACACGCCCAAGTTGTCCTGGTACTGCTTGGATCTGTTCTTTAAAATCTTGAATTATGCCAGTTGATTCAACTAACGGTACACTTTGTTTCTCTAATTTGGCTATCACAGTGCATATAAAGGTGTAGTTTCCTTTTAAAAATGCCAAATCTTGACGCAACTTTTTATTTTGAAAAATATTTACGCAATTCTTAACGGATTGGGTAGCCTCTGCATCAAATTGCGTAACGACTTCTTCGAACTGGTTAATGTATGTACTGTAGTAGGAAGCCGCTTCTAGCCATGTTCCCCATCGGGTTAAAATTGGTTCTGGGGGTAAGGGTAAATCTGGGAATTTTTCTTTAAATTGTTGTACCCTTAGTGGTGCTTTTACAAAAATTTTTTTACCGTTGGAAATTAATTTATTAACTTCCGGAAATTGTAGCCGTACAGTTTCTGCTACTCTGTTTACCCCATGTGCGACGCATGTACAGTGAATTAAACTTTCGTACAAAATTTTTAAATTGCGTCCAGCTTTTAACATGTACGCCGCGGCATCAGAAATCATCAATAAAATCTTAGTTGTAGGCACAGCATTTGGCAGAAACAATGATGTAAGACTTTCATTGACAAATCGAGTTATTGTATCACTGTTCGTTTTTGGCAATTCTTTCAAACTCACCACATACCCTTGTGTAGCAATGTCTTCATTTAAAACGCCAACTATTAAACTTGCTACATATCTACCACAACTATCGGTGGTTTCATCCACCGCAAACCATATATAATTGTTTCCGATTAATTGCTGAATTTTTCTATATACTTGTAGAAACACGGGCTCCACGTAATTTTTGCGAAGAGTAGTCTCAGCCGGGATGTGCCTATTGCAATAGGTTTGCAGGAATTGACGAAACGGGCCGTTTTCCAACTTCTTTAAAGGTATATTGGCCTGAATCATCATTTCACATAAATCAAAATTAAACTTGAATTGTTCGTCCTGTCGCGAAGAGGATGCAACAGATTCCACTAATGTTTGTTGTTTGGATTTTTCAATTTCAAATTTTTTCCGCCTTTCTACATGAAGAGTGGTTTGTACATGTTGCGTGACGTTATATTTTTTATCATTTTGTATCTATGCAGAATTATTTTCTTATTAGCTACTTACCTATTAAAATTAAACAAACACTCACCGTTTTAACGCAAGCTCTGCAAAATATTCTACCATTTTCGATTTTTAATTCAGGAAAACCCCTTATCCATTCATCCGGTGTGGATTTTTGTTTTGGCATTATTCCCTAATAAAGGTGACTAATAGATAAAAGAAAATGGTCTGCAAACCACAGGAACGTTCATTCACTAACAATAACGCGGTATGATTCACTCCTTAGTAAATGCAGCGCCAGTAGAATTTGATGAACAGCTGTGTGGCTGTGATTTACGCGTCTCGGTGTAACTTCTGTAATCGCTGCGTGCAGGTGAACGTGTTAACAGTCTTTTATTTTCATAGAATCAGCAAAAAAGCATTAAATAAGCATATTAACGTCAATAAGCATTTCTCTTTAAAAAAAAGCTGAAAAAGCATAACAAAGTATGGTCGGTATGAATCAAAATGCGAAATTAGGTCTAATATTTTGAATAGTTTTGGCGTGCTTATAATACTCACGATAAGCATAAAACCTAGATATCCGCTCTCTAGTTATAACACAAAATTTTGCGTTGGAATGTATAGGAAACAAAAAAAATACTGTGTCCCTTAGACGCCTTCGTAATATTCCGATTGGGTCGGGCCAGCTTCACGGTAGCCAAACCCACGATAGAAAAATGGTAATATGTTAGTGTTAAACGTTTTTGTTTTGCTATATCGGACGTTTGTTTACCATTTGGTGTGCTATTTTTTAATATTCAGTTACAGTCGGGTTACTTCCGCACATGTTAAGGTATATATATATATATATATATACAGGGTGATTCCTATAGTACCTGCCACCGTTTGGGAGCGTGTAGGTGGTGCGTAGGGGAGTATTTTGATATAGGACACTTGGGGTCGGAAATCTAAAATAAGGGTGCCAGAGCCAAATTTACCTTCTGGAATTTCGCGCCTGTAGGTAGGCAACCCAACCGGCCGGCGGTGCACACGGAGCGATCTCAGGCGGCGATGTGTGGCTGACACTTGATCAGAATTTTGTTTAAACCCACGAAATCCCGTCTGCAACGACGCGTATCAAGTGAATAAACACTATGGCAATAGTATAATAATAGTTGGCTAGATGTAGGAAGTGCATTGAGAACAACGGTGGCCACGTTGAACACTTGTAAACGTTATTGCTTTTGACTGTCGTTTTCCCTCCTTCCCTCCCATGTCGCTTCCTCGCGCTAACTCGCTCTGCATCGCTCCGCGCGAAACGTCGGTCGGTTGGGTTGCCTACATACAGGCGTGAAATTCCAGAAGATAAATTTGGTTCTGGCGCCCTTATTTTAGATTTCCGACCCCAAGTGTCCTATATCAAAATACTCCCCTAGGCACCCCCTATACGCTCCCAAACGGTGGCAGGTACTATAGGATCACCCTGTGGTATATATATATATTAATACTATATATAATGATAATTATATATACATATACGCAATAAGTAGTCACTTCCGTTACACAAACTGGCCGACCTGACTTCCACCAAAAGAAATACACCTAGATTTTTTTTCAGTCTATTAATAAGTTTAGGGGGATGTGCTTTATCAAGTTTTCTAAAGAGGGGAAGCGATTTCGCTTGTTTATTTTTAATATATATAATATATAACTGCAGTCATATTCTCTACCAATTCACTTCCGGTAAATGTGTAATATCTCTCTCGTTGTCACTTCCGGCGATGTTGCCACTACCTTTACTACTAACATTTGGGTAAATGCATTAACGTTTTACTCTATATTTTATAGTGAGTGTCATAATTAATTATTTTGGTGTCAACGAACATATCGCAAGGTAAGTGTAGGTACATGGGTTCAAGATGTACTGAGTCGATTATTGTATGGGATACTAATGTGAAGTGCATTTTCTAAGTTGCACATAATGATAAATTAAAAAAACGTTTCACCAAAATTTTTTTCACGTTTATAGGACTGTGTTCTACTGATTGGCCCACATTTCGTTATCATAACTGCAGTAGTGCTGTAGTCTATGTTTTGCAATGATTATGGTAAATTTGATATATCGCCATCCCCTAATCCAAACGGCTTTTGCATTGTAGAATTTTGTATGATATTATTATTTCTGCTTGGCTTTGTATTTATTAAGTTTTGTCCTATAATTGGATTTTTTTTCTGTTTGGGCATATATATTATTAATTGTTCTTTTTATTTATTATATTTTTCTCCATTTATGGCACTGTTCAGGCGTGCGGCAACAGCGACGGTCATTGGCACACCATGGGGGTAAGTTCTATATTTCATAATTTATAGGCATGTGTTTAGATTTTGTTTATGTTGTTTATAGTTTTTATATACTTAAGGACGTTTTTTTAGGTTAGAGTCGGATAGTGTAGTCGCTACATCACCTTTTATGCGCTTCATTCTGCGGTATTGTTCTAGCGTAGGGCATGATTCCAATATATGGGCATTGTTAGTGTATGATTATTATTATCATTACCATTGTCATTATCATGATCATCATCATGATGATTATCATACCATTATCATTGTCATTATTATCGTCATCGTCATGATCATTATCATCATTATCGTCATCATCATTATCATCATCCTCATCGTGATCGTAGTCGTGGAACATGATCATTATCATTATATTTTAATTTTGTCATATTTTTCTCCGTTAATAGCCCTGTTCCGGCGTGTGTTGACAGCGACTGTCATTGGAACACCGTGGAGTGGAGGTAAGTTCTACATTTGTTCTTTTTATTTTATTTAAAAGGTTTTATTTTTAAGTGACCGCAGCTGCTTTACGAACTCAACTTAACTTAAACTTCAGACCTAGAAGGACCAATAAAAGCTATAGCATATCCTGTTTAACACATCAAGGTTTCATACTATGATGCACGTGGGTAAGTCAAATTATGCCATTCGTTTTGCAGCTACCTATGTGTTGAAGATCTAGGTGCGTATCTACCAAATGTATATCAATCTACTTACTACCGCATAAGGTCTGTCGACTGTAGGTGCACAACATTAATTGTACTTAACTAGTAATAAAACAAACATTGTGGAAGAATAAAATAAAAATGTATTCTATTACGTAAAATAAAGGAAACATTTCTTGTAGTTTATAGTCCTTTTTTAGTTTTAATCAAATGTTGTAGCTTTGATTTGGTTACAATGACGCTTCTGTTTATTCCATTTCTTTCAAGAAATTCCTTTATGTCGTTCCCTGCTGGATAGGTACCTTTATTAATGTAGACACTGAACTCTTTTTTTAATAAATGAAGTTCCCGATTAGACCAATCTGGAAATTTAAATGTAGTAGTTAGCAAATTATGCTAATACTTACAGGTTCTCTGTCCACTTCTCTTTGGAACTTCAGCTACACTATCAGCGTCAATTAAATCTGAAAGCGATACCTATGTATATTTGGTTTCTTACTTCATAATCGAAAGTACCTGATGGTCTGTCCTGTACTATCCGAGATGTTTCTGGTGACGCATGGATCGGTAAATCTGAAAAAAAAATGTGTTTGGCTTAGTTTAATAGATATTTATGTATCAAGTACGCAAAATACCGTTTGAGCGAACAAATCGGTATTAAAGACGAGGCGACAGAGGAGCCGAGTCTATAATGAGATAAGTGCGCTAAAACGTTTTGCGTACGTGGTACATACAAAATTTTTTGGTAAAAGCTCTAAAAAAATAGTCTAAACTCTACCTATATGTTCTATCTGAAGTTATCACACTTTAAGTAGGCCGTTAAAGATTTATTTTGCGGACTCAAATGGATACGGAAAGTAACAATTTTGGAGAGCGTGTACCAAAAATTTATTTAGGTACCTACCTGATGGTATTTGCGGTACTGTCCGAGACCTTTCATTAGCTGCAACAGTTATATCTGAAAACGATATCAATTACATTTAAATTTCAATAAATGCTAGTTGGCAATGGTACCTGATGATAATTCCTCTTGGGGAGAGGAACCTAAAAGTATTAAATGTATAGATAAGTATTGTTTTAAATTAAGGGCCAGTTGTATAACGTCTGGTTGAACTTCCGGTTGAAATCAACCTGCGGTTGAACGTCAGTGATTGGATAAAATGTCAGCCATGATGAAAATAAGGCCCATGATTGACGTTCAACCGCAGGTTGATTTCCACCGGAGGTTCAAACTGACATTATACAACCGGCCATAAGAGAAATCCATTCCGCTACTACTGAAATAAAAATAACCGATCCAAAAAGCCGAAATATCCATCTATCAATACATTTATTCGCCAAATAAATTCCTTAGTTACGATTGTGCTAATGATGGCTTTATTGGTAGAATAGTATAGGTAAGTAAATGAAGGTTGTGGAAACAAAAAATAATACCATTAAATCCTGTATTTACAATCTCAATAGATCTTTCGTTTGCATAAAATCCTGGAGGCTCCTCACTTCTTTTATTTATTGTGCCTATAAATATTTTAATGTTTCACAGTAACTGAAATCTACCTAAATTTACCGTCAATTTTGTCTTCCTCCGCATATTCTAGGTTAAAATCTATATTAATCTCTTCCAACGACTTTCCTTTATATTCGATTGGCATAGATCCTTTCTCCATCATCATCAACAATTTTGACACCTTTGCAGTTTGGTAAATGTCAACCGGTAATCTAATACATTTAAAAAAGGTAAGTAGATGATATCTGATGTTTCAGTCGTTGCTTGTTACTTACTCATAAAACTCATCGTGAGTCTTTTGAGTATGCCCCATGAAATTTGCAAACTGTTTTGCCTCTTCTGGTTTTAAACTTAAAATTTGGGTTACAGTGGCAATCTGTTTCCGCAGGTTGTTACTTGAAATAGCTTTAGGGTTTTCAATTTGAATTTTTTTGCACAATGCCCGAATTGCCACATCACCTTTTCCCCATTTAATCGTACTGTCGGGCATGGCAAACACATAGTCATTGTTAGAGTCTAATATGTACTTGTTTCTCTCCGCTAATAAAACATTAATCATGTTTTGCAGTTCTTCAGGTATAAGTATGACAACAGCCCTCGAACCTTTACCGCTGTTGAGTACTCTCTTGTATTTTTGGGTCAATGATCTTTCCACATCCGTAAGTACATGGTCGAAATCTGTGTAGTTGCTCTTTTTATCTGATTTGTAGTCGCTGATCTTAAGATATTGAACGTCACCTATTCGGCGACGATTAAACAAAATTAGTAACGATAAGACACATTGTATTAATAATTTAAATGCGCGTTTATTCTCTTTTAAAAGTAGCTGGGATACGGAGTCATTTGCCAACTTAGTCACTTCGTCTCTAAACTTTTTCACGTCGCTCACCAATGGTAGTAATAGCGGCTTTTTCCAACGCTTTTCTTGAAGATCTTTATTAGCTAAAG